TATGTGGTGCTGAGAATCGAACCCAGGGCCTCACGCATGCTAGGCAAGAGTGGCACAACTTGAGCCACATCCCCAGCCCCCCAAGCTGTTTTCTAAAACAGCTTTACTGGCTTTGTGGCTTTACTGGCTGGGTAAGGTGTAATCCCAGTGACTGGGGAGGCTGAGGCAGGAGGATCACAAGTTCAAAGCCAGCTTCAGCAACTTAGCACGACCCTGTCTCTAAACAAAATATAAAAAGGACTGGGGATGTGGCTCAGTGTTTAAGTGTCCCTGGTTCAATCCTGGGTACCAAAAAATAAAAAATAAAAATAAATTAAGTAGCTTTACTAAGTTTTTATATTCCTACCAGCAATACAAGAGGGTTCTAGTTTCTGCACACCCTCAAATACATTTGATATTGTATGTCTTTTGTTATAACCATCTAGTGGTATCTTAATATAGTCCTAATTTCTCTCTCTTGAGGACTGTACCACCCAGGGGCACTCTACCACTGAGCACATTATGTCCCCAGTCTTTTATATATATATATTTATTTATTTGAATTTTGAGACAGGGTCTCACTAAATTGCTAAGGCTGGCCTCAAACTTGTGATCTTCTGTCTCAGCCTCCCAGGGAGTTGGGATTACAGACTTTCACCACCATGCCTAATTTGCATTTCTCTAATGACTAATTTTGTTGAGCACTTTTTCTTGTGTTTATTAGTCATTCATCTATCATATTTGGTGAAATGTCTTCACATATTTTGTTGTTTTCTAACTAGGTTGTTATCTTGTTGAGATAAGAGGGCTCTTTTTTATATGTTCTGAACACACATCCTTTATCAGATTTATATGATTTGCAAGCATTTTTTTCTAGCCTGATACCTCATCTATTTATTTTCCTTTTTTAAAAAATATTTTTTAGTTACACTTGGACACAATGTCTTTGTTTTGTTTATTTATTTTTATGTGGTGCTGAGGATCGAATCCAGTGCCTCACACATGAGAGCAAGCAGTCCACCACTGTGTTACAGTGGTTTCTTTTCTTTTCTTTTTTTTTTTTAAAAAAAGGGGAGAGAGAGAGAGGGAGGAGGGAAAGAGAATTTTTTTTTTTAAATATTTATTTTTCAGTTCTCGGCAAACACAACATCTTTGTTTGTATGTGGTGCTGAGGATCGAACCCGGGCCGCACGCATGGCAGGCGAGCGCGCTACCACTTGAGCCACATCCCCAGCCCCAGGTTTATTTTCTTAATAGCATCCTTTGAGGGACAAAAATTTTGAATTTTTTAAAAAAATATGTTTAGTTGTGATGAACACTATATCTTTATTTTCTTTATTTATTTCTATGTGGTGCTGAGGATTGAACCCAGTGCCTCACGTATGCTAGGCAAGAAGTACTCTACCACTGAGCCACCACCCAGCCCCCCAAATTTTGAATTTGGACAAAATCCAATTTATAGTTATTTGCTTTAATGGGTCATGCTTTTGGTGTTATAACTATGTGCCCAACCCAAGGTCATGAAGATTTTTCTCCTCTGTTTTGTTCTAGAAGGAATTGCAATTTTAACAAGCTTTCTGAGAGTCTGTTGCATACCCCCAGATTCAGTAGCCAGACTGTATCTACCACCTGTGGATAGAGTGTGACTTGGGTATGTGAGTTGAATAACTGAGAGCTCTTGCATCAGCTCTGAGCCTTGGGAGTACATGAATGGTTTCTGCCTGTGTGACCAGGGGCACACCATGGGCAGACCATCTCAGCTTCAGGAATCACTGTGGTGGGAACTGTCCTGTGGGTGTGGGAGACCACCAATGTCCCTGCTCTGCAGTCTGGGCTAGTTTAATTCCCCACTACATGACGGCCCCCTCCCCAGCTTCCCTAATCTTGAACTCCATCCCTCTTGCTGTTTTTGAGGAAAGAGGTTCTGAAGGAAAAGGGACAGGTAGGGGAAACAGCAAGGTCTGTTATTCATAGACACATATGTCCCTTGCCATTTCACACACATGGCTGCACCTAGTTTGCATAAATATACCATTGACAGGATAAGGCACTTGTGTGTGTCCATATGCATGTGGTCACCCTCAAGGAGGGCAGAGACTGTGTCTGTATACAGAGCTGTGGCTGAGTATTGAGTGTATGTACACATGGACAATCTCATCCTCATTGCTCTATGACAAGGGCAAATAATTTTGTGTATGGTCACTTCTGGGACACACACCCATATTTGCACATGCACAAACAGCTTAACAAAGCCTTGGTCTCTCTCCCCTGTCACTGGCCTGGCCTCAGGGGATTCCAGTTTTAATAACAATTGGATGGAAGAAAGAAAAAATTTTGTTTCTCTGATCCCTCCCTCTGACTAGGAGAGATGGGAGGAAGGACAGTCACTTTGTCCTTTTTATTGCTAATTGATCAATTTGTAGGTTTATTTTTTTAAATACAGTGCCGTTGGCCCTTTCCAAATGTCTGTTTCTGTGAGTTTTGACAAATATATATATGTAGTCATGAAACCACTAAAACAATCCAGCTATAGAATAGTTATATCGTCCCAAGTCCCCTCAAGGCAGAGGGGCACAGGTGAAGAGGGACCTAGGGATAAGCATTCTCATGCACACATGAGCAGGTCTGGGAGTTTACATATGTGGCTCATATTATATTTCTACTGGTCAATGTGAATCTAAGGCCTGGAGGACAAATGGGGACCAGGCAAGACCAGTAGGCAGGAGCCAAAACACCAAGAAGGGTGAAGGAGGCCACTGTAGCATCGTGGTCAAGGACATGAGCTTTGGAGTTAGGAGACAGAGTGAGTTCTGCTCCTTCCTTGCTGTGCCATTTTAACCTCTTTGAACTTTCCATTTCTTCCTTTTGACATGGGATATGGACATCAGCTCTTCTCCTCAGAGCTGTTCATGTACAGCATATGGTATATAGTTGGTCCTTATTGACAGCAGGTGACATCATTCTGCACAGCTGTGGAGTTGGGGATTGATCCTCAGGGAACTGTCCAGCCATTGATAGGCTTAATGCTGTGAAGTGATACATGACTTAGAAAGATCCCTCTGCAACAGAGCAGGGGCACCACAGAAGACCTGTGATGAAATTCAGGTGGGAAGTGAGCAAGTGTCTGTCTGTGCATAAAAGAGGCAGCGTCCCAGGCAAGTTAGGATGCGGACACTGTAGGACATGGTGTAGATGGGCATGTGGGCCAGAGAAATGCGGAGGGTGTCTGGCTGGGCAGCTGGGTGGAAGATGGGGATATCATCCAGGGAGGGTGGAGGGTGGGGCTCTGCCACGCTAGGCAGAATTAGCTAATTCTAAGCTAACTGGGTTAGCCTTGTTTACCTCTGTATTCCCAAGATGTAGCATGGTTCTTATCACACACGTGATCAGCCATTTGGTGGAAAGGCTCAGGGCACTGCTTTTGAGACCACGATGGGTTGGCTTTTGGTTCTCATTTTACCAGCTAAGTGATCTGTGGCTCACTGACTTCACCTTTCTGGGCTTTAGCCTCCTCCTCTGTAGAATGGGAGTAAGGGTAGCTCCCTTGTGGGTTGTTCTAAGGGCTCAGGGGGGTTATCTATGTGAACACACAGCATAGTGTGTGCTCAGTAATTATTAACCTCAGACTCCTCACTTGATTCCTACTGCCAACACACACACACACACACACACACACACACACACACACACACAGCCTTGTCTTTTGAAGCTCTCAGTTCCTTGAAAGAACAGAAACCTAAGGGGTTCCTCTGAAGAAGCAAGTGCCTCAATATTCTCCCCTCTGCCTGCAGTTAAGCAGGAAGATGGAGGTTAGACTTTGGGAAGAACTTTCTTTTAGAGCCAAGAGTATCTGAGTTTTAGAAAATTAATCCATTAATCTCTAAGTTTTAAATTCCATTAATATTTCAACAAAATTGACACAGGTATATTAAAATATGTTGGGAGTCATGATTTAGATCTTATACTTTATTAATATTATTAATAATATTAATAATCTTATACCTTGTTAATATTAATTAGTATTATTATAATTATTAAATTACATATAATTATATTCTTATTATTATATAACTATATTATGCCGTGTGATTGTATTACATATTACATTTAATTTTTATTTATTTATTTATTTTTGTTTTGGTACTGGGGATTGAACTCAGAGGAGCTTTACCACTGAGCCACATCCCCAGACCTTTTTATTTTTTCTTTTGAGTCTCACCAAATTGCTTAGGGTTTTTGCTGAGGCTGGCTTTGAACTTGCAATCCTCCTGCCTCATCCTCCTGAGTTGCTGGGATTACAGGTGTGGAACACCACTCCTTGTCTATTTTTAACTTTTTATAGGTGTTCCACATCTGGTACAATCCGGCAAAATGGATTAACTATTGTTTCCCTTCCCTGCCTTTCATAAATAATTAAGAAGTATCCAAGCAAGGGCACTTTTGGGTTTATTTTTTTATTCATTTCCTACAGCATCCCAGAGTGACCTAACAGGAAGGGGAACAGGGCTGGAAGCTTAATAGGTCTATAATCTCCTGGTCCCAGGATGGGGGCAGTCTGAAGCTTCCAACCCCCTCATTGATCTCAGGAGGTGGGAATGTATTAAAGACTCTCGGTGATTGCTCAGACAGGATGACCCTGTTGTGGTGACCCAGGAATCCTACCTCCACCTCAGACTCCATTTCCTCACATCCAGCTCCTTCTCTGATGGCACCCACCAAAAACTAGCAATATGTTGAAGCTGAGTTTAAAGAGGGAACCATGCTGGGGACTTTAGAGGACATGGGTTCAACAGCCAGACAGCTGTGGGTCCAGGTACACACCTGTTAGCTGAGTGGACTTGGTGTATCACTTTAACCTCAGTGTGCCTCAGTTTCTCCCTTTGTAAAGCAGGGATACTGGGGTCTCTTAAGGTGCATGGTTGGTGAGTCAGGAATGTGCCTGCTCCCCAGCTGGCTGGTGGCTGACCTGTGGCTGCTGCTCAGTGTCCCCCACTCTCTCTTCCCTTGCTTCCACTCCACAGTCCCCATCCCCTCCAAAGCCAGCAGCCTTTCGGCCCTCTCATTGGCCAAAGACAGCCTGGTTGGCGGCATCACCAACCCCAGTGAGGTCTTCTGCTCCGTGCCTGGACGGCTTTCCTTGCTCAGCTCAACATCCAAGTACAAGGTGACCGTGGGGGAAGTACAGCGGCGACTCTCACCTCCTGAGTGCCTCAACGCCTCCCTCCTGGGGGGCGTCCTCCGCAGGTAGGAAGGCCAACCCACAACCACTGCACAGCCCACAATCCCTGGTTTCTTCAGACCTTCTGAGGGCATCTGAAAGGGGGCCAGCCTCACTCCTACCCAAACATCATCCCCACTCAGTCTCCTGGGAGGAGGAAGGCCCAGGGACTCCAGATCACACATGTGCTGGGAGGCAGACCCAGGTCTCCAGTAGTTCCCACAGGCCTTTGGGATTGTGGTGGGGGGGGGCGGGTAGAAAAAAGCCCAGCCACAGAGAAAGCATGAAGGACTTATCCATGTTGGAAAGAATGGACGAGGCTGGGTCTGGGGAAGAGAGAGTGTCATCTACACCCCCCTCCCCCAAAAGGTACCCCAGCACCTAAGGCCCTGTAGCATAGACCTCACTGGTGTATGTGTGCTGGGGATGGGGATGCAGTTTGTCTTCATTGCTGTGTATTTCTCTGCGTGTCCTTGTGCCTGGGAAGGGTATTTCTGCTTCAGGGCTATAAGTTTTGATGAGTCTCAGGATGGTGTGTGTTTGTGAGTTAGGGGATGGCTAGAAGTATATGTTTCCATTAGTGTGAGCATCCTGTTACTAAGTGGCAATGTGTGGCCTAGAGTGTGTCCTATTCTGTGTGTGTGTGATTGTATGTGCATGTGCAGGTAGTCTTGTGTATGTTTGCTTGCCTGTACTTCTGTGTGGGCACCACATTTGTAGTGGTGTCTCTATATTCCTGGATAATTTGAGCTTCCTGGAGGGACTGAGTATCTGTACATATGTCTCTGGGATCCTGATTTGATGTTATCATGGGTCTGTCTTGGGTCTCTGCATGTGTATCTCTTGGTGTCTCTGTATTCTTGGCCCTCAATGTGCCTCATCTATGTGTTTGTGGGTCTGAGTCCTGAGTGACTGTGTGTGTGTACCTGTGTCTCCCTGTCTATGTCCCTGTGTCTCTTGTGGATCTGTGCATCCCCAACAAATGTGCTAAGGTGGGGAAAAGGACCCTGTGATGCTGTCCTTCTCCACCCTGGGCTATCGAGGACTGGGAAGAAGAGAGGGAATCTTGGAGCCAGGTGCTGGGCCCCCCTAAGCCAATCTTGACTGCAAAACCAGTAAAGTTAGAAAGAGTTTGGGATCTTGCTGAGAGACCCTAGAGAATCTCCAAAGCCAAACCTAAGCCTCAACAGGGGTTGGTGCAGGCAACAAGGCCCTGTAAGGACCACTTAGCCCACAGGCTTCTCTCTTGTCTTCATAGTTGTGTGTCTGTCTCTCTCTCTCTGCATATCAAGAGCCAAGTCCAAGAATGGGGGTCGGTGTCTACGGGAAAGGCTAGAGAAGATTGGGCTCAACCTGCCAGCTGGCCGTCGGAAGGCTGCCAATGTGACACTGCTGACCTCATTGGTGGAGGGTGAGTGAGAACTGAAGGTGGGCTTGAGCATGAGTGTGAGGAGGTCTGTGTCACCTGGCATGACTTGTCTCTAATGCAGGAGGGTGTGTTTAGTCATGTGTGTATTCGTGTAAGCACTGCAGTATCTCTGTGTCATGTGTAAGACGGCATGTATGTGATGTGTGTGCACAGTTGGCCCTCTGTAACTGCGGGTTCCATCTGAGAATTTAACCAACCATGGTTTGACAATGTTTGGAAAATATTCTACCTCTAGTGAACATGAACAGACCTTTTGCTTGTCATTTATTCCTTAAACAATACAGTACAACTATTTACTTTGTATTAGCTATCACAAGCAATCTAGAGATGATTTCAAGTATACAGGAGGATGTGTATAGATTAGATGCAGATACTGTGTGCCATTGTATGTAAGGGACTTGAGCACCCATGGATTTGGGCATTTTCAGGGAATCCTAGAACCAGTCCCTTGAGGATACTGAGGGACACTATATCACCTTGCACATCTATGCATATGTGTGCACATGCAGTGGAGAGCTACTTATGGGGGTGTGTGCGTTTGTGTGTAGGGAAAGGCACAGCCAGTGTTTGGCTGTGGTATGTAGATGGGAGGGGGACAGCCCTCTTCCCTGGAGGTCAATGACTCTGGGCTCTGCCTCTGGAAGTTCCAGGCCCAACCCCTGTAGTCCCAAGAGAGGGTAATGCAATTGAGGCTAAATCTGGGCAGGTGCAGGAAATCAGAGGCAGGTATCTTCAGAAGTTGGTATCTTCAGAAGTGGGATGGGGCAGGTTGCCCCCTGGCCAGGGGGTCAGAGGTTCAAGGCTGGGTTCCAGGCTCAGAGGCACACCTGGTAGTAGTGACAGCTCTGATCCCCACAGGAGAGGCTGTGCACCTGGCTCGAGACTTTGGCTACGTCTGTGAGACTGAGTTCCCAGCCAAAGCAGCCGCTGAGTACCTGTGCCGACAGCACGCTGACCCGGGGGAACTGCACAGCCGCAAGAGCATGCTGCTGGCCGCCAAGTGAGTGAGGGCACTCTACACAGGCTGTCAGGAGTGCAATGCACAGACACAGACCTCAGATCTGGGCACAATGGGCCCAACTGTGAGCACATGTACACGTACGTGGCACACTGCACCACACACAGGCACATCTGGACTCCCTGCTTAGGGTCACATGGGCACCCTCCTGCATGCTGCACAGGAATACCTGGCACCACAGGTGGGTATATTTGGGCACCATGTTCATTACTTTCAGACCTAGTTAGAAGAGAACCAGACTCATGGGATTACCAAATGGAGAGACCTGGGAGGCTGCTTATATTGTGTTGGAAAAAGCCCATCTATGGTGGATTCCACCTCATTCATGAATCAGTTCACATACCAAGTGCTTCCTGAGTCCCAGTAATGTCTAAGATGCTGGCTGGGTTTCTTGGTGACAAAGAAGAATGATGACTGATCCTCTTGCCTGAGCCACATATGGGGTGCACAGAGAAATGGATAATGACTGCAGACTGGAGTTAGACTCATATCCCAGCTCAGTCCCCATGACAGGTCATCTAACCTGTCTGAAATCAGTTTCCTCATCCATATGACAGGTATAGATTTGTTTTAAAAATCATTAGATGATGTATATAGTGTACTTGGCACAGCATCTGACCTCAATCTCTGCTGCTAGATAATATTTCAATTGTGTAAGGCAAATTTTGTGGTTCCCTAATAATTTCAAAAGACAAGGTTCCGTGAAGCACTGGGTTTTTGGGGTAGTTGAGAGGATCAAGGCAAGTTTTCTGAATAAGGCAGAAAGAAGTTGAGCTGAGCTCTGAATGTGGTCAGGACATCCACAGGGAGAGCACAGCCCAATACGTGGAGCACGTGCTGTTTACTGGCTGTATGATATTGGGCTACTCGGTTACTTCTCTGAACCTTGGTTTTCTTTTCTGTGAAATGAGTATAATCATCATTTGTAGACTGTTGGGAGAGGCAAGCAATTGTGTAATCTAAGAACCCAGAACACAGATTCTTCTCTGGGCCCAGAGCCTTGTCCTTTAACTTCTGACCTTCCTTCCCCCACCAGGCAGATCTGCAAGGAGTTTGCTGACTTGATGGCTCAGGATCGCTCCCCATTGGGCAACAGCCGCCCAGCACTCATCCTGGAGCCTGGAGTGCAGAGTTGCCTGACACACTTTAGCCTCATCACCCACGGCTTTGGAGGGCCTGCCATCTGTGCTGCCCTCACCGCCTTCCAGAACTACCTGCTGGAGTCACTCAAGGGACTGGACAAGATGTTTCTAACCAGTGTAGGCAGTGGGCATGGTGAAACCAAGGCTTCAGAGAAGGATGCCAAACATCGGAAATAACCGAATCTCTCATTCATCCTAAGGGGCTCCCAAGCCCTGAGTTGAGACTTAGCTCCTAAGGTGGCCCTGAAAGGACTAAAAGGTGGGATTAGAGTCAGGCCAGAAAAAGAACATTCATCCAGAAACCCCAGTTAGGGCTCTGGATAGGAGCAAGGGAGGTGGTCTGTTGGTAAGAGCCCAGGTATCTGTCTCACGTGTGCAATTGTCTGACCTTTGCTAAAAAGGGCTTGGACAGGAAATTGGTATGAAAAAGTCTGGCTTGAGGAGCAGAGCCCTACCCTTTAGGGAGTCTGGGCAGCAGTGGGCTCCTAGGGGCCGAGGTTTTCTGCTTTTTAATAATAGCTGGAGGACATTGTTAACAAATCAGAGGTGCTACTGAAGAGCTAGTAAGCCTCATCCCAGAATCTCCTACCCCAGAAAAGAGGTGCTGGAAGGAGGTCCCAGTGGGCTTTGTGAACCCTTTCCATTCTTAAAGCAAAGGGCAGGAGAAGCCCTAGTGGAACAAAGACAAAGCACAACTTGCAGAACTTGAATCCAGGCTGCGCGTCACAGCCCTGTTGCTATTTGTCCTATTTATTTATGTATGATGTAATTAAATTTGAAAGTTTAAAAATGTCGAGCACAACTTACTTATTCCCAGTGAGTTGGGGATTTATTTCACTGTTTTCTGCTCATTCTCTGAGAGGACCATCAGGACCAGGACAGAGAGGGTGTTTTGCTCACAGAGAGCTGTGCATGGGCTGGGAGGGAAGAAAGGTATGTCAGGCACCCTGATGTCATCACAGGGTTTTGTATTTGCTGTTTCTCTCCACCCTACAGTTGAAACACCTCCCCATCTCTCAGATTGCTTCCTCAGTCTCTTAATAAAACCTGACCTTGGCTATGAAGCCCTTCCTGTCCTTCTTCAGTCCTGGGGCCTGGATTTCCCTCCTTTGAGATCACTGAGTAGAGGCAGAACCTGGGATTTAGGAAGGACTTGGGGCAAGAAAGGGTCCTTAATGGGGAACACATTAGGAGTGGTGTGGATACCTCTGAGAGGGAGTCCAGATGTGGATCTATCTGGCTATCTGTGTGTGTCAAGTGAATACTGTTTGTGTATTATTGTGACTTGCTAGCCTGTAGGTGAATGGGTCATCTTGGCTATTAGCTGTCATGTTGCCATGACTGTTGGTGGTAGGTTTGTATGCGTCCGTGTGAATGCTGGTGACTGTGTGTGTGTATGTGTGTGTGTGTGTGTGAGAGAGAGAGAGAGAGAGAGAGATTGAGATTATCAGGCCAATACTAATTCAACTCTTTTCTTGAGGATTTCACTCTTTGGGCATCTTTTTTTTTTTTTTTTTGGTCCTGCATTTTCAATCTCTCCCTCCCTATTGAATTGTCTACTAGATTGTTCCTCAAGCACATATATCTTCTTCTTCCTTTTTTTTTTTTTTTTTTGTGTGTGTGTGGTGCTGGGGATTGAACCCAGGACCTGGTACATGCGAAGCAAGCTCTCTACCAACTGAGCTATATCCCTAGCCCCTTGTAGGATCTCTTATAAAACATAAATCCTTTCCCCATCTATTTATTTCCTTTGCATTTGAAATTTGTTTTGCTATTTACAATGCTGAAGATTGAGCCTGAGGACTCACCAATATTAGGCAGGTACTATACCACTGAGCAACACTTCCAGCCAAGTGAGTTTCTAAAAGGTTGCTACACCCCTACCTCCATTTTCTTTATTGCCAATTCTCCTCAAACCACTTCAGTTCCTAATAGTCCGTTGAAATCCACTTAACATGGTCATCGATGATCACAATGTCAAATCCAAAGGACTTTTTCTGGATTTAACAGTGGCATTTGCCATGGCTTACCACTTGTTCTTTTCTAAAACACTCCATGGTTCCCAACTTCTCCTGATTTCCCCTGACATCACTGGTTCCAATTCTGTCTACTTTGCTGGCAGCTGCTTTTTTTTTCTTTTTGTTTATTTTTTAGTTTTCGATGGACACAACATCTTTATTTTATTTTTATGTGGTGCTGAGGATCGAACCTAGCACCCCGCGCATGCCAGGCGAGCATGTTACCGCTTGAGCCACATCCCCAGCTCCTGCTTTTTTTCTTTTGGTCCCAAGAATTGAACCCAGAGACACTTAACCACTGAGCTACATCCCCAGCCCCTTTTTGTATTTTATTAGAGATAGGGTCTCACTGCATTGCTTAGGGCTTTGCTAAGTTGCTGAGGTTGGCTTTGAACTCATGATTCTCCTGCCTCAGTCTCCCAAGCCACTGGGATTACAGGCATGCACCATCATGCCTAGCAGCTAACTTCTTCTCTACTAGAATCTCATTCAATCCCATGATTTTACACATCATTTGTAGGATGCTAATCCCTGAATTTGCATCTTTGGCCCTAACTGGTCCCTGAACTCCAGGGACCAATATGGAGGACTTGACTCTACAAAAAACATGACCTCCTCCAAACTGTCCCATCTTTGCAAATGGTCTCATCTTCTACCCTGCTGCTCAGGCCAGGAACTGGGGAGTCATATTTGATTCTTCCTCTACATTCAATTCCCCACTGTCTTACTGATTCAGAATCCATCTTTCCATCTCCACTGCCACCACCCTCAACATCTGTCTACAAGAGCCTCCCTACTGGTTTGATTTCACTGGTATACCTTCCTGCTATGGCCCTGAAATGACCTGAACTTTGCCAACCTTACCTTAAACTATTCTCTTCAATACCCACTTTACTCTAGCCATATGGATTTTTTTTTTCTTTTTTTTTTCCCCCCGGTGTTGGGGATTGAACTCAGGGCCTTTTGCATGTCAGAAAAGCACTCTACCAACTGAGCTATAGCCCCAGCCCTACATGGATTTCTAGTCCTCAGACTTTCTCTGAGGGCCACTGCAGTCACTGTTGCCTCTGCCTGGATGACTCTTCCTCCATGTCTTTACAAGTATGCTGTCAGGCCCAGAAGTTGAGGATGCTTTGCAGAGATGAAGGTATGCAAGGCACATGAGGTTCAGACATTATGTTTCAGGATAAGGGTCCAAAGATGTGACTTCTTTTCCCAAGAAGTTTCAAAGCCTTAACCCACCCATAGAAAAGGATAAATGGGGGAAGGTGGAAGTATGCTCTGCTGTAACCAAGGCCCAGGACCTGGCAAGCGACATTCTTCTACTAAAATTATCTCAGATTACAGGAACTTGGGGGGTTAAAATGACACAAAAGGAATCTAACACTTATAAAATACCTAGCATAAACAAATCAATAAAAGCTTGGTAAACAAGGAAGAAGCTAGAATTCAAGAACTGTTCAGTACTAGGCAACTTTCCCTAAGGAAAGAACAAGGTAGTTCTCATGAAGACCCAGGTAGTCCTCACCAAGACCAATTTTTATCTCTATATTTTTTTGTACCAGGTATTGAACCCAGGGGCACTTAACCACTGAGCCATATCCCCAGCCCATTTTTTTTTTTTTTTTTTTTGAGACAAGTTCTTCTAAGTTGTTGAGGCTGGCCTCAAATTTGCAATCCTCCTGCCTCAGCCTCCTGAACAGCTGATTATAGGCATGCACCACTGCACCCAGCAAGACCTATTTTAGAATTAAAAAAATTGTAGCTGCATAACTTGCCTAGGGTCTCTCATGTCACAGAGTGGGTCTCACATAGATCAGTTTGATAAAACCCTCCCTTCATTTCCACTGTAACACATGGACCCTATGCAGAGAGACTCACAGGCCTGAGCCCTACAAGGGAAAGCAGGTCTTCCTAGCCCCTCATGCCCCAAGGCTCTGCTATACCAGCATATGGTCAGGATCATTAACAGTGCAGAGGAAGCAAGTGTGGAGACTGTGTAAGTAGCATAAGCAGCGCCTAATGAGGTCTCAGCATTTGATTCTTTCCATTTTCCCCCCACAGCAAAAGTGTGTGTTAGCCTCTGACTAGCTGGGTATAGCCCTGAGGAAAAGGAGATGGTGATTAAAGAAACGTATTCACTCCGGTTTACATAGCTTCTTTTTTGCAAAGTAAGAAGCTGTGAATTAAATGGAGTGTATTTAGACTGGGTAAGCAACATGATTTTCAAATTGTGCATTTGAGTTTATACTCACTTAAAGAAAATGCCTTTCTGTTTTCTTTGAAAAGATCAGAGTATTTCAGGAGAAATAAGGGCAGTGTTTGAAAGCCTTCCTTCCCTCAGGCCTTATGAGGGAGTGAGTGAGGATGAGGTACAGGCTTTCTTCTCACACACCGGCTCCTGATAGATTTCTAGAATCTGGAGAAAGTCCCTCCTGTCCCTCCTCTCCCTTGAGCACTGCTGCAGTTTCCTTGTCAAAGGACTAAGGTAAGGATAGCAATAGTGACAGGACTCTGGGTTTTTTTTGGTTTTTTTTTTATATTTTTTTAGTTGTTGATAGATCTTTTATTTTTATTTATTTATATGCGGTGCTGAGAATCGAACCCAGTGCCTCACACATGCCAGACAAGTGCATTACCGCTGAGCCCCAGCCCCAGCCCAGGACTCTGGGTTCTACACCGAGAAGACTTAGCCTCCATTGCTCAGCTGGGAACACCATGATCTTCTCAAGCCATTTCAGTGCCTTCCTCCTCCTCCTCTCAGGTTCCTTCAGTCTTCCCAGCCCTTCACCAGTCAAGGTTGAGCTTCCCTGCCCTCAGGCAAAACAGCTGCTCCCTTCTCCAACCTGACCCCTCCCACCCTAAGCCTGGGAAGGAATAAATTGTTTTCTGTGTATTAATCACCTGCAAGCAGATGGAAACCAATTGGAAGACCATTCTGGGCAATGTTTGGCCAGGAGTGTTAAAGAGTTATTTCATTCCTAGGGTTTTTCAAACTTTAAGAAATCAATTTAGGACACAGCTAGCATTTTTAGAAATAAAATCTAGAAAAAAACAGAAAATATGAGTGTAGAGCATCTTGATTCAAAACACATACACACCTACAACTGTAAGAAAAGTTCCACAAGGTAGTGCTTACACTTCTTACAGCAGGTACTT